CACACATACTGCCCTCATACACACATACTGCCCCGCATACACACACACTGCCCCCATACACTGCCGCCCCATACACACACATTGCCCACATTCACACACACACTGCAACTGTTACACACACATACTGTCCCACACATACACTGCATCCCTGACATACACTGCCCCCCCTACTCACACACTACAACCTTCACACACACACACACTGCTCACACACTGTCCCCCTCACACACACACACACTGCACCCCTTACACATTGCACCACTCACACACCACTGCTCCTATGCCCTACTACCGCCCCATTTCCCAGCAGACCTCAGGTAAGTTGTCAAACTGTTCTTAAACGGTTTGACTACTTACTCTAGGAGGGGGTCCCAGCACTATTGACACCATAACCACTACACTGAGCTGTAGTAGTTATTGTGTCTGGATTATTTCTTTAAATAATCTACAAGTGCCCCTCCCGAGATCAGGCTCTGGATCCGCCACTGTAGGGAAGCTAAGAATAATACCAATAAATTACTTAATCTGATCCACATAGCCCAGACATCCTCGAGTAACAGCTTACTCCTTGCAATCAATGCAGAAAAAGCATTTGACAGGGTGGACTACACTCCACGGCTTTGGAGTTGGGCTGTGAAGAAATTACCCCATTATTTCGGTTATTAACTTTTTTCTGTTCGGTAGTTGAAACTACCGAACACAGACCATCCCCCCGCTCGTTAACTACAAAGAGAACAAGGAATTAGTTCTCTCCATGTGTGGCCATAGTTGAACGCCACATGCAGGAGAAAACGACGACCATCTTGTTCGCACGAAAGGGGGCAGAGGGACTTGGTTGTCGAGTGTCTGGAACTAAAATCGGACACTCGACTTCCCGAACACCGTTCAAACCATACAAACACCTGCTTCCTTTTCCCGAACAGCTAGGAGAGTGCTGTTCGGTCGTTTTGTTTCCACAAACTAGGGGAACAAACACTACTATGAGCCAGGGGGTTCCGTTTGGGATTTATTCGGTTTTATGACTTTTCGAAAAAGACTGATCGCACAACCTGAACTCATGGAACTGTTCGGGGGAAAATAGGCAAACTGGTATCTACTATACCAGCATTCATTACAACTGGTGGCAAACGGTGGGATTCCTATCCCAAATGGTACCAAGGAAGGAGTGAATGGCTCAGCAATAAGAACTATTGAAAAGAATGACACTGGAAGCTTGAGGCATAGTGGCAAGTAACAAGACAAAAGCCACATTAATTGCAGAATTAATACAGAGCGACAGAACCAGTGATACGGAAATGGAACACCTGGAGGAAACAGAACTGCAAAAGGATGTGAGATGAATGCTCAGCATGTTGGGGCCAAATCTGTCAGCAGACTCTACCATACAGATTATGGCACAAGCCAGGCAAGCGCAGAGAGATCATGAAGAAAGAGACAGATCACTGTAAGGGGATTTGCTAACATCCCCAGGAAGTACAAATGGGCATCCACGGAAAGTAAACTATGCTCCCTTCAAAGCATTCACTGATGGAGAGATGGAGATTGACAGCTACCTACAAGATTTTGAGCGTCAGTGTGCAGCAAGGTGGGCTGCGGTGCTCAGCAGCAAACTCTCAGGATGGGCAGCAGAGGCGTTCAGAACTATGGAAAAGTAAAAGAGATGTTATTGGCCAGATATGCGGTCACACCAGAGGCGTACCGGAAGAAATTTCGGGGCCTCAGGAAAGGGGGGAAAGACTCTTATGCCGAATGGGCCTTCCGACTACACTGGGCTGCCCAAAATTGGATGCAGGGTTGCTGGGCAACATAGCTGAAGGATGCGCTACAACTATTATTATTGGAGCATTTCTTCGATCACAGTTCTTTCAGGGACTAGATGAGAGACCGCAAACCAACAACCATGGAAGAAACTGACAGATTGGCGGACGAGTACCAGGACTGCCGGCGACTTTAACCAAGTGGAGGGCACCCTGCGTTCAGACCCTCCTACCAGGTACCGTCCACTCCTACACCACCCAACTTGAGTTAATGAATAAACCTATTACATAGCTACCTACTCACTTACATGTGACAGTAGAACAAACTCTGTTCACATAGACTTTTTAATCTTTAACAACTGGATATACAAGCAATGTAGGGGTTAACTGCTATACTCAAAAGATGCAATTATCATTTAGGATATTAGCTACAACTCCTATAAACATAATAGTGTTCAAGTTTGGTCAGATACCTATCCGTTCCAATAACGACAACAATTATATTTACAAATATCTTTGTGAGTAGTAAACTAAATTTCATATATTTTATTATTTGGGACATTTGCTAAAACACTCCAATATAAAGGTGTTTGTCTATTCAAATACCAATCCGTTCTAGTAATGATAACTATATTTACAAAGATGTGTAAGAGAAGCAAACTCTTTATTAATGTTATCATATATATTTTAAATCTATTCTTGTATCACTTCAGACATGTAAGCAATGAAAGGGTTAATCCAAACAAACGTCATCTTCAGATAATCTTCTGTCAAGCTACCATTGGTTAATACAGAAACCCACAACCAATCATTAACAACCTTAAAGGGAAACTCCAGTGCCAGAAAAAACAATCCGTTTTCTTGGCACTGCAGGTTCCCTCTCCCTCCCACCCCCCCCCCCCAATCCCACGTCACTGCTTCTCCTTCCGTGACGCTCCTCCTTCTGACTGCGCATGTGCATGTGCATTAGCGCTCCCCATAGGAAAGCATTTCAGTGCATTTCAATGCTTTCCTATGGGGAAATGAGCGACGCTGGAGATCCTCACACAGTGTGAGGACATCCAGCCATGCTCTAGCACAGGTTTCCTGTGCTAGGAACCAGGAAGTGCCCTCTAGTGGCTGTCTAGTAGACAGTCACTAGAGGTGGAGTTAACCCTGCAAGGTAATTATTGCAGTTTATAAAAAACTGCAATAATTACACTTGCAGGGTTAAGAGTAGTGGGAGTTGGCACCCAGACCACTCCAATGGGCAGAAGTGGTCTGGGTGCCTGGAGTGTCCCTTTAACATTTAAATACACCAATAATTACCTCTGTCTGGTTCCCCTCTGATGAGCCACGCTGGCGAAACATGCACGTCAGGGGCTCAGGACACTCACTTGATACATTACTAGTGCTGGCTTCTCATTCCCGCGATATATAACAGCTAGCCGACACTATAATCAAACAGCATCCGCAAGTCACCGAGCTAACAGTCCTTCACAAGTTTAAAAACTTCTCTTTCTCTA